GCAACCGTTCTTCATATATTTTAGCATCCAGGCCCCTAATCATCTTTGTTGCTCTTCTCTGCAATCTTTCTAGAGCTTCCACATCTTTTCTCCATCGTGGCGACCAAAACTGAATGCCGTATTCCAAGTGTGGCCTTACCAAGGCATTATAAAGTGGTATTAACACTTCACGTGATCTTGATTCNCCCGGATTGTTGTTGGGGGCAATATGCTGACTCTGTAAACTGCTTAGAGAGGGCTGAAAGCCCTATGAAGTGGTATATAAGTCTAACTGCTATTGCTGTTGCTATCCTAATTCTTGTTGGAGTAAGGCGATATGACCTTCTTCTCACACATTAAAGACGAAACTGAGGTAAATATGCACCCAATACAGAGGGTGCGTGCCTACCGGTTCAGACTGGTTCGGCCAAGTAGGTAGTAACTCAGCTGGCCACGCCCCCGAACCGGTTCTATCGGCAGCGCTGTAGCCTCCGCCATCTTTTTTTTTCTTGCACAGAAGAATTTCTTTTTACTACTGTGCATGTGTGCGAATCACGTCGTTGAGCGAGCCAGCAGTAACAGAAGCCCTGACCCATTACATTAAAATACAGTATGTCTCTAAATCACAGTGTTATAACTGAGATGGAGAAAAAGGATCATGCTTAATACAGTGGATATTCATTACTGAACCAGAAGAAAAGCATACCTTTATTTTGTTGCAAGAACAAGGATACATTTCACTTATGAAATTTTAACCTTTCAGTTCTTTTATATCCTTTTAATGAGCACAAACATTACATTTGATTCCAAGAGCTGCAAGGCATTGAGTCTCCTGATGTGGGAAAAAAACGACATTCTCATATATAAAATATACTAAAACTCTTTTTTTACAGCCCTGTAATCCCTTAATCGCATATATAAAAATATAATATGGACAGGTATGTCCTTGACGTATGAGCCCAAAATTTGAGTGAAAAATCTATTTAGTGAGTTTTGCCCCATTTGTGGGGATGCAGCAATGGTCATAAGTGTGAAAAACAGTCATGCCACTTTTTTCAGTGCCGTTGCAAACTTTGAATGGCCACTATTTTGTAAGCCGAGGACTACCTGTGTTTAAAATACAATATGTATTTTGTTTTTAAGTCTTCCCTTTGTCTGCCATGATTACTGACTCGAGATGACTTAAGGTAATCATGGGAACATTTAAAGCACACTCATTAGGAATGGGGAGAGTTTTCCTATGGATCCATCTGTACTAACCCAGCAAGATTTGTAAACACTCAAATATTCTCAAGATTGATCCTTCTTGTTCCTTTGGGGCAAGATTCTGGAATGAGACTTGTTGGGACAGAGAGGAAACCCCTTGACTGATTGGGAGAGGGCTGAGTTTTCGTAGGACACCAGGGAAAGCTCATTGCTCAACTCACTTATACATGATTATCGGGGGGGGGGGATTCAGCTGGTTCAGACTGGTTCAGATGAACTGGATGCTAATTTTGCATCCTGTTCACTGAACTGGTAGTTACAAGGACTGGTTGGCCCTGCCCATCCCAACCCAGCCCTCCCAGGAGTCTCCACATGGCCTGTTTTGAATGCCAGGTAAGTGTAGGGACCATGCGGAGGTTCTGGGAGGGTGAAAAATGGGCCTCTTGGAAGTTCCAGAAATCCGGGGAGGACATTTTTCCCCTCCCAGAGGCTCAAGAAAAGCCTCTGGAGCCTGGGGAGCAAAAAAAATGGGCCTTCCAGAAGCCGTTTCCAGCCTCCAGAGAGCCTCCCAGTGGCTCGGGGAAAGCCTCCACAGCCCGAGGAGAGTGAAAACACCCATCCGCCTGCTGTGGTACAGGAGGCCAAGTAGGCCACACCCACCATGGCCATGCCCACCCAGCAACCGGGCAGAGAACCGATCGCTAAAATTTTTGAATCCCACCCTGGTGATTATGTATGTAGTAATCAGATTTTCCTAAAGGAAACCAACCTTGAGTGTTCTTTGGAAGGACAGATATTGAAGCTGAAATACTCTGGCCACCAAATGAGAAGAGTCAACTCACTGGAAAAGATCCTGACATTGGGAAAGATGGAAGGCCAAAGGAGAAGGGGACAGCAGAGGATGAGATGGTGGTTCCACCACAAAAACGCGGTCGACTAAAGCACGCTCGATGAAACCGCGTACCTGACGTCATCACAGCGTGACGAAAACAGCATGCTGTGAGTGGTAAANAGTCCAAGATTTAAGACAGATGTGTCAAACTCAAGGCCCATGGGCCGGATCCAGCCCCCGGGGTGCTTAGATCTGGCCCACAAAGTCACTCTGGAAACAGCAAAGGACCGGTTCGTGGTGCCCCTGCCAGCAAAAATTGAGCTCGTGGGGGACACACTTACAACAGCGCTGAAAAAGGGACTTATGACCCTTTTTCACATTTACGATAGTTGCAGCAGCCCCATGGATTATGTGATCAAAATTCAGAAGCTTGGCAACTGACTCATATTTATGACGGTTGCAGTTTCTGGGTGTGTGTGTGTGTCATGTGATCTCCTTTTGCGATCTTCTGGGGAAGCCAGATTCACTTAACAACTGTCTTCCTAACTCAATAACTGCAGTGCTTTACTTAATAACTTTGGCAGGAAAGGTGGTAAAATGGGGCAGAATCCCCTTAAATGAGGTGTCTCACTTTGCAACAGAAATTTTGTGGTTCTACGTCGAAGACTACCTGCATACTCCCATCCACCGATAAGCTGGCCCTTACATTTAAAACCCCCAAAATATCATAAATAATATGCCACACGCAAGACAAATTGATTTATCATGGTTTAATTTTAATCCTTGGATTAAAATTAGTTTCGTCATTTTATTAGCATCATTTTGGCAATTATTTGAAAAACATCCAGTAATATGAAACAGAAATTTCTTCTTAGAAGCAGAAATGGGGTTTTTTTTTTAATGCTACGCATTGTGCATATGGATAGCTATCTGATTCCCGATTGTAGTATTGTCCATCCCGGGAAAAATTCTCATGGACATCTGTATCCATAACAATGATGGATATCCTCCCCCGGTCCCAGCCGATTGTTCATTGCACTTCTTCACCACAATTTTTTTTGTTTTTATTTACTTGCAGGTGTCAGAGATTGTATTTGAGGTGGAATCAACGTCTTGTGAGATTTCAGGAAATAACCTAATAAAATGCTGTCAAATGTTTTGAAAGGGAATAACTCATTCCAACATGCCTCCTGGAAAATTTCACCCTCTGCTTTTAGAAAATTGAAGTCTTAAGAATAGCTACCATGTGTATTTGTGGATAAGCCAATACTTTTAGATGCTAAAATAGACCCCTTTCTCAAATTGGTTTCAGCTTAACCACAGATGGGCTTATCCATGAGTATATATGATAGATTTTTCCCCCCTCAATTCTTTTAAAAAGGTACTTATTTATCCCTTATATATTCCCAGATAAGCCAACCTTCAAGAGCGGTGCAGTGGCCTAGAGGTAGAGCTCTCGCCTCACAATCAGGAGGCTGTGAGTTTGATCCTAGGTAGAGGCAGATAATTCTCTCTCTGGGCACACTGGGAATATATCAGAGGTGGGATTCAGCCGGTTCTCTCCGGTTCGGGTGAACCGGTAGGGGAGGCCGCCCTCCTGACATAATGCATGAACATTGTGCATGTGCAGAAGCCGGTACGCATATGCAGACAAGGCATTTGTGAACTGGTACAGAAGGTAAGTGAATCCCATCTCTGGAATGTATCTGCTGGGAAAAAAAAAAAAACCTCCGCATTGGCGACAGTAAGGGCATCTGGCCAGGAAACACTCAGCTTCATTCAGTTGCCCAGACTCCACCCTGCAAGGAACTATGGGGTTGTTAAAAGCTGATGATAATAAGCCTATCCTTAAATAAGCAGACCCACAAATGTTAAGCAACTTTTGCCCTAAAAATTGGCCCCTTTGCTAATAAGCCAAACGTGAAAATTAAAACGTGCAAAAAGTTTCAAAGGTCAGCTTACTCTGGGTGGCACATTATTTATGATATTTTGGTTAAATGTCTGAGGGTCAGCTTATCCACACATGGACTTATCCATGAGTGTTGTGGCCCAGCAGGAAGCTCTGAAAGCGAGGGGCCCTATGAGTCGGCTGTGGAGGATGTGGAGGNCTAAAGGCTATCCATGCCCTTTTTTGATGCACAACGGGCCATTTATTTGCTCATTTTGCCTGCCCCAGCCCCCAGGAGCACTCTACAAGCCTCTTAAAGGCTATGATGCCCTTTTTGACAAAAAATGGGCCTGTTTTTGTGAAAAAGGGCCATTTGTGGGAGGTCTGCAGAGTGCAAAAATGTTTTTTTTAATTTGCCTCTTCAAAATCTTGGTGCGTCTTATACTTCAGTACGTCTTATACTCCGAAAAATACAGCAATCAATTTAATTGACTCCCGCCATCTAGAACATCGTGCCCCATGAGTTGAGAGCCATCTCCCAACTTTTTGGCCTTCCAAAAGAGCCTCAAAAGCCTGGGAAAGATTGAAAAGAAGAAGAAGGGGGCAACAGAGAAGGAGGTAGCTGGATGGAGTCACCGAAGCAGTAGGCATGAGCTTAAATGGACTCCAGAGGATGGTAGAGGACAGGAAGGCCTGGAGGAATGTTGTTCATGAGGTCGCAATGGGTCAGACACAACTTTGCAACTAACGCAACAGGAGGCTCAAAATCAGCCCCTTTGGACTTGCCTGGGACACAGTTTTTTTGTCAAAAAAGGGCATGCATAGCCTTATAGAGTGCTCTTGGGGGCTGGGAGGGCAAAAACAAGCATAAAATGGCCCGTTTTTCACTCATTTCTGCCCCCCCCCCCCAGGAGCACTCTTGAAGCCTCCTAAAGGCTATGAATGGCCATTTTTGCGAAGGGGGCCTGGTTTCAGGAGGCCAAAAATGCTGTATTCAGTGTATAAGATGCACCCAGATTTTCACCCTCTTTTTTGAGGGAAAAATACTCCGAAAAATATGGTAATGCCTTAATGTTTATATGTCATTTTTTATGCACTCTGGGTAAGCCACCCCGAGTGATTTGACAATGAGATGGAGGGAACATACGTTTAATAAATAAATAATAAACAACAATTAAGTCAACTTTGAGAAATAGACATTGCTATTCCCATTTTGCTCTTTTAGTACTATATTAGACTGAACCAGCATTCAGCTGAAAGAAGTTTAAATAATCATCATAATTACCATTAAAAAATGGTCATTAAATTACATTCATTCCTCTTTCCTTAGAGACAGATTCCGTTTTTTAAGAGTCATATTTTGGACAAACTCAACAAAGCTCACAATTGTTTCTGTCCATACGTTGAAGTCCCACCTAGGTTTTTGAACTTAAAGCAAGCAAACAAACAAAACTTCGAGTTGACATTCCAAATCCCAAAGCCATTTTTAAAATTGTTCCTAGTGAATAAAAATGTAAACAGAATTGTTGAGAGCTCAGTTCCATGTGGTCACGATAGAGTGGCAGAATAAGATTTAGGCATACAAACATACAAAGAACTCAGTTTGATTCCATGCGATGGGACACATTTACAATTCACATTCCTCTATTTACAACGTACTGGGATGAATTTGGTCATTGTTATTTAAAGCAGGAGAAAGTTTGCTCTTCTATATTTCTGTCTCCCGCTTTGGAAGTGTTCTGATGAAACAACGAGGGAAGCCACAGGGACATTAGAATTCGTTTATATTCCTTCCGAAAATTTTGGTTCAGAAGCCCGTAGATTATTGCATTAAGGCAACTGTTGAAGTAGGCCATGAAGTAGCTCACCACAAACAACCACTCGGGGATTTTGGGTGCTACCTCCGAAGGGTTAATGGCCACAGCCAGACCTATGAAGTTCAACGGCGCCCAGCAAAAGGCAAAGATCACAAAGACAACAAACATGGTGAGAAAGTTTCGGAAGTCGCTTGGTTTTATCTTCAGCTTCAGTTCTGATTGGACTTTCCTCCTCACTCGTATCACCAGAATCCAGATCCTCAAGTAGCAGAAGCTCACAATGGTGATCGGAAGGATGAAGTGGATGACGACAACGGCAATGGTGTAAGAGGAGCTGGTCGTTTGGGCGAAGGTGCACGAATAGATCCTTTGATCGTACTTGAGGGAGCCAACGAAAAAGTTCGGCACGGTTGCAACCACGGTGAGAACCCAGACGAGGCAGACGTAGAATATCGTGTTCCACCAACTGTACACTTTATTGTACACAAAACTGTGGCAAATGTAGCAGTATCTGTTTATCGCAATGGCGGTGATGTTGAAGATGGAACCTATCACGCTCAATCCCATCACAAAGCCGCTGGCTTTGCAGTGTGTTTCTCCCAAGGACCAGCCGTTGTGAAAAAGGGCAACGAGGACTAAAGGATAAGGGTACAAGGCCACCACTAAGTCTGCCAGGGCCAAGCTAACCACAAATGCATTGCCTGAAAAAGAAAATAAGAGAGAAAGAGAGAGAGAGAGAGAAAGAGAGAGAGAGAAGGACAAAGTCAAGACTTGGGATATCCAAAATGAGAAACTCTTTCAGATATAAAGGACAAATTTCAAGACCATATGCAGACTTCATTTTTAAAAAAAAATCATTCTAGAACTGGGTACCAGCTTTGGACTGGCATGTACATTTTTTGTTTCTCTTGATTTAAGACCAGGGACGTGCAGTCACTAGAGGCAAGGGAGGCGGAGCCTCACCAGTCTCCTCAGGAAAAAGAAAGAAATTTAAATTT